GACTACCTATGTTTCAAATGTATTATCTTTTCAATTTACACACGGCATCTATTGCACGTCTGTCCGTCCTGGGAGAGGGATCCCTCCTCTGTTGCTCTCCCTGAGGTTTCTCCCATTTTCCCCTTTAAACTGTGGGTTTTCTCTGGAAGTTTTTCCTTGTACGATGTGAGGGTCTAAGGACAGAGGGTGTCGTATTGTCATACTGATATTCTGTACAAACTGTGAAGTCCACTGAGACAAATGTAACATTTGTGATATTGGGCTATATAAATAAACATTGATTGATTGATTAGCATCTGGTGCTAGCTGCGCTAACAGATATAAGAAGAAGATGTTTCTACAACAAGGGTGGAAGAGAGCTCTCTACTGTAAGACTGAGAGGCTCAGTGAGGTGAAGGACTCTCAGTGTTTAGATAGTTCACTTTAGTCTAAGTTATCTCAGTGGGTCTCAAACATTTTGATCACAATTTATGTAAACACATATTTCCAAGGCACTCCTTTATAATTATTGGGATAAACAGGTTTGAAATATTTTCAATGTAAAAATATCGTTTAAACTGGGGAGATAAAACAATATGCGTTGATAAATGTTAACTAGGTAAAATAATATATGACTGGACAACAAAAATAAAATACTTTACATGTATTTGTTTTTGGCTGTGGGTTATTAGTTATATTCACATAATTATCTGATTATTAAAATGTAAACCGATCTTTTTCATATGGGTGTTTAGAGTTGTACCCCCTCGATCTAGTCTCTAGTAATTGTGTGCTCAAAGTGCACCAGATTGAAGCATTTTACTTTAAAATATTCAAAACATTTCTTCCCGGGGACGGGGACGGGGGGGCGTATCCCCGGACCCCCTTAGAGGATGTGATGTCCACCCCCCAATTCAAACATGATCATACAATACTGAATACATTTGAAGCCTTTTTGATGTATATTACCTATGTCAATAAGTTTCTTTAGTGTTTTTTTTTTTTGTAGATATTTCTCGACTATTCTATTGTGTATTCCTTGGATACTCTATTGATTGGGGAGACAGCTAAAATCTCGCCTATGGCATCAAATTGGCTAGAACCGGCCCTGGGTACAAACCAAGAAATTCCCTGTACTGTAATACGGCCCAGCACCCAGGGTATAGTAATGTCATACAGACAATTGTACACAGCTGTTCCTTGCCTCCTTGGCCCCCCTCCCCCCCTGTTGTTATTGTCATCACCTTGAGCTCCATAGCACTCACCCACCCACTCAACCCAGAGGAGCTATGGGAGGGACAGGAAGTCTAATTCCAGACCACTTCCTGTATGACATTCCTGACCCGAGCTGCCTTCCTGCCACTCTCACAGGCTGCGTACGTCAAGACATCTGTGGCCCTTCACATTCATTTATATGGGCTTTAAATGTCTGTATGGGAGAAGAGTGTGTTCTCCACTGGAAATAAAAATATCACAGAGACATTATTAATGAGATGCATTAGCCTTTGTAACGACAATTGATTTAAAAATAAAACATGCCTGATTTGTCAAGTTCACAAAACGTACACTGTTTTTGTAGCCATTTCAATCCATTACTTTATTGGGACCTTCCATTAAGTGCATAGAATGACAGTTCACATGAATAACATTTATAACAAAAGGGACAGACTGATAGGTGTAAACACATGGAAAGGACAGACAGAACAGATTACATTCATTGCAGCAGCATCACTACAGTCCCTTCTTACCTCACCACACCTCTCATCCACTGTTGTAAAAATATAAAACAGGTTTTAATATGCAAATAAATGTGTTTTATGTGCAGTAACGGAAAATTATATATTGGATATGAGAGAACACTGCAGACAAATGGCCCCAAGATGCCAGTACTGACCCTTTCATTGTATATTTGTTAGTGTCACTATATATATATATATATATATATATATATATATCTTTGTTTATCCTTCCAGTTTAACAATGCAAATACAATGTAAATTATCTCAAAAATACATTCGCTACAAGAAGCTTTACCTTTGCTACTGAAAGTGACCAATTAGTATTGCCAACAGAAGCAGCTCTTTCCTCAAAATCATGAACAACAAATAATATTAGAACGGCCAACTGTAGCTTAGCAAATAAAAGTGTAAACCAACAGCTTTAATTGGATTCAGATTAAAAGAAATAGTATGAAAATCAAAGTAATCTCCTAACATTTTCTATATGAGATACAGAAGGGTTTTGATTTGTTTATGATTCATCAGTTTCATTTCAACTGTGAAGAGAAGCTCACCTCCTGCAGCTCTCCAACAATAATGTAAACCCTGATCCCAGCTCATCTACCTGACACACATACACAACCCTGTGTTTCCATGGAGCCTGGGCAGCAGGGATCTGGTGTTTCCGTGATGTAGTTACAGGATGCTCTCCCTCAGGTTCCCACCGCTGCACGTGTTGGACTGCTGACTTTGGGTTCCTGATGTTCGGTTCCAAGTGTGAAAGTCCAAAAGAGCCTGATTGAGCTGCTCCATCCAGTCCAGCCTCTCCTCTTTGGAGTCGGCTGAAAACCAACGCCTGAACAAGAACAACATCAGCCTTTAGAGAACTGTGTTTTTATGGGTACTTTGTTTTGTTTTTGTAAAAAGGGAGTGTACAATATTAAGGGTCTGTATTTTACTTGAGCATTTTAATTTTTTGCTACTTTGTACTTCTACTCCACTACAATTCAGAGGCAAATCGAGTACTTTTACTCTACCACATTTATATAATCAAAACATATACTAAATATTATTCTAAAGAGGGCCAATCTGCATAATGAGTTCTTACTTGATACTAATGCTTTTGTACTTTTACTTTTTGTATACCTACTCTATAGTACATTTTACTTAAGTACAAAATCTGAGTACTCCTTCCACCTTACACGTAATTGGGGCAACAGAGCTTTGAGGTTATGGCAGTTGGCAACTGTGCAACTCTGATGATGCCAAAATATGATGCCTTTTGGCCAGATTGCTCGTGTTGTTAGAGCAGGGGGTCCAAACATTTTTCACTGAGGGCCAAATACAGAAAAATATACGAAGGGCTGGGCAAATCACTAAAGGTGAGGTATATTGCCTCATAAGTTAGGTTAGATGTTAGCAGAATCAATCAAATGTAGGTCAATTTTGCTTGATAATTGAATTTCCAATAGAAAAAAAACAGCCTACATCACATCTCTCTATAGGGTTTCATTCATTTTGTTTAAAAAAGTGTTCAGCTCATCTCTTATAAGAAGAATAGGAAAAGGTATATTTCAAGCTTGTTATGCAAATAAGTTAGATGCAAAGATTTGTTAGAACATTTTATCAACTTGAATTGACTGAAATATTTGAAAATGAGGCTTATTGAATACTGTGTAAATAACTACAGGACGTAGTTTGGACACTCCTGATGTAGAGGCTGTTAATCTTAAATATGTTTACAGTAATTATACGGTTTCAAAAGACATTTCAAAACGCAACCCAAACATTGCTGTCTCAGAAGGCGTTTCTCATTGAATGACAAAAGTAAAACACCCCTGTGACATAACTAGTGGACATCAACATGAACACACAACCAATAAAAAGCAAATCCCGAGTACTGGTTTAAAGCTCTCAATGATAAGTGAAATCATTCAGGTGTATTTACACTTCACTAACTGCCACATGATTATTAAAGCTTATTATTGTTTATTCAGTCTTACTTGGCAAAGGTGTCCCGGACGGCGTCCTGCTGCTGTGGGACGCCGCTCACCAGCTCGAAGGTGAACGGTCGCGCACACGAGTCCCTCTTCACAGGCCGCACACACTGACTGCTGGAGCTGGACAGAGAAATGCTGCCCTCTGCATCCTGGGAAGTAAAAACAGAAGCACAGTTAAAGCTATTTAAAGTAAATGGGTGATTCTTCTGTGTGTTGGTCCATACGTCCATACCTTAGATTCTCTGTCATTGGGGTGGTTCCAGTAGGACATGGTGCATCCCATCAGAACAAAATATCGGCGATGCCACACCCCGTATCCACTGATCATCTCAAACATGGTCTGGGAACACATTCAGAGAGAGAGGGAATTTAAAACAACCGAACACAGAGAAATGCAGCTTAACTGTTTCCCAGCATTTTAGAAAGACATCCATTCCGTCTTATTGGATTAGCGTACTACTTTATTGTATAGTTTAGCAAAGACAGCAGGGTAAAACTGCTACTTATGTTTTCGCCTTTTAACAAACTCACAATTGTTTTTAAACTATTACGAGGAACATTAGCTGACGCAATTTACTCTGTGAATGTTAAGATTTAGTGGTAAATCTCTTGTTAGCCAGAGACACATTCTGTTAGGTCACCAGGGTCAACATCTCTGTCTGTACACCACCTGAAGCTAAACCTTGACACGACTAAACTGCTCTTCCTTCCAGGAAAGGCCTCTCCCATCAGTGACTTATCATAGGACTGAGAACTGTAAACAGCGACAAACCCATACAAATGACCCACTTATTTGCAATATGTAGTTTATAAGTACAGGAAGCTGCAAATCCATTCCTAATCCAGGAGAGTGCAGGTTCTGGTCCAGGATATTGCAATCACGTGCCTTGATTTATTCAATCCTTCTTGGCTGCTGTGCCCGCATATGTCACCTGACCTTTGCAGTCCATCCAGAGCGCAGCACAGCTGGTCTTGAGCTTCCCTTAGTTCTCCCTTATTGCCCAGCTGCTCAGCTCCCAGTGGCTGCTCTAATCCCATTCAAAAAACTGGTACGTGCTTTTCAAGGTGCATTAATGGCGCTTTTCCACTGCAGCACAGTTTAAGCGGGCCGGGTTGTTTTCCACTAGGGGTAGTTCCGGCTCAATGCTACTTTTTCACCTTTTTTCTGGCCCTCCGAAATCGAGGTTCTTACCGGGCCAACGACCAGGCTGAATGGTCAGAGAGAATCGCTGGCAAGGGGGCTACAACTACAAAAAAATGAACATATTTCACCGTGATTTAATTGTAATACACTTTTCAAAAATGATGCCGAAGTAACAACATACTGATACCGGTCTGCAGACAAGACGGCAGGCGAAAAACCTTTTAAAATGCGTGTTTTCTGAATGGAGATCGGATCGATCAGGCTAAGCTAACGTTGTATCTGCTCCATTCCACACTCACGACAACGGCCTACAGCCATAAATAAACCAGCGACTGTATTCGCCATGACACAGACAGTCTGTGGTTTGTACTTGTTTAACTTTTGTCTAGTTTCTGAACAGATATGAGGAGCTGTGAGCTCTGAGGGCTCACAATTAACGGCTGATGTTTTGGTTTTGTGGTTCGCATTGAAGATGACGTCACGGCAGTTTTACACAGCGTTGCTCCGCCCGCCAAACATCCGATCGCCCCGCCTACACTGCGTTACTATAGTTACTACACCTATTACTAAACTGTAATGGAAACGCAGCATAAAGTGAGCTAGGCCAAACCCAGGGGTCTGCAACCTTTTTGACCAAAAGAGCCATTTTGTCCCCTTTTCCACCAATTTTTCTTTGTCTGGAGCCGCTAAACATATTTGATAGCTTATAAAGTTGTATATATTGTTACATCATTCAAAAACTACAGTTTTTTGCATTTATTATACATTATAGAAAACTGTTTACCTATAATAATAAACAAAGAACTCTTATAAGGAGAATACAAAAAAATACACA